TGCCGAGCTCCGGTGAGAAACGCCCACCTGAAGACCACACTGTCTCCACGAGCTTCAGAGGCTCGGCTGTGAGTCACCAGCGGCAGACCACTGGTGCATTTATCTTTTCTTACCTGCCTGCTATGTTTTGGGAGTAAATGATCCCCAAATTTATTGATTTAATGCATTATAGTTCTCTTCTCTAACCTTTATGTTTCCCACAAGTTGAGAAAGGGAAGTGCAGTCACTCATCCAAAGGGGGTAAGAAAAGTCAAGTCAATATTGAAAATACTAGAAAGAAAATGGCTTTGAAGACAGCAACGCAGAAAAATACATATAAATAAGAAAGGTGAAGAATTTTTTGTCTTGCACTTAATAAAACTTGTAACAAAAATTAAACTTGAGTAAGTCTTTCTCTCCTTGTGCTTACTTCACCTTCATGAATTGCCCTGTGCCTCACACAAACGTTACCCTTAGAGACACAAGAAAATAAACTGCACCCACAAAACAAGACACAGAGGATATCTGTACAAAAGGAATGTTCAAAGAACAAGGTGAGCTCTTGGAAATGAAAAGTGTAAGAGAATTTTTTTTAGTGAATGAAAGGTCTGGGACATCACTTTGATAAAACTGCTCAGAAATCTTTGAAGACAACAATATATAAAAGGGACATTAAGGAAAGTTGGAGCATCACCTGAGGACACTCCAACATCCAAATCCTAAGAGAGCCAGGGGAATGGAAACCACAGACAACTCCCCGCATGGGAGCAATGCATTCAAAATCCCGAGGCAAATGGCTCCCAACAGAATTCCATTCCCAGCTTAATCAGTCAATGTAAGACTAGAACAAACAGATTTTCAGATATGCAAAGTGCCCAAATTTAACCACGACTGTTCTCCTTCTCAGAAAGCTCAGGAAAAATAATGGTGTGGAGGCCAGGGAACAGGAAATCCCATGTAGGAGAGATGAAGGACAGCCCCAGGATGATAATGAAGAGAGATCACGGGACTTGAGCTGTGCAGCAGGTCCAGACAGCACACAGCTGAGAAAGGATCTGAGAAACGGACAGCTCCAAGAGGGAGGCCCCCCAGAAAAAGAAGTGAGAGGAACTACACTTCTGTGTAGTGGTGGTTGATGAACTGGGGTGAGGCACACAGAAAACAAAGCAAATGAAAAATAAGACAGTTATCTCCATGACAACAAGAAAGTGATACATCTATGAATAATATTTACATACATAATCACATTAATGCAAACAATGAATATTGATTTGGTCTGACAATTACGAGATAGCTACTAGAAAGAGAGAAAAATGCAGATAAGGGGTGCGTGCATGCGTGTGTGCGTGTGTGTATGTATAGGATGTGCAGCAGAAAGTCAGTAGGTTATACCAAAGTAAGAACATCAAGAAATCATAATATAAGCATGCAGTTTGGCTTGATACTAGAAGAAATGGCTAAAAGGGTTGAAAGTGGTTTCCTCTGGAGGGTGAAATTGGATACTGGGGAAGGACAGGGCTGGGGGCTGCCATACTTTGTCCTGAGTTTTATAGAATGATTTGACTTTCTAAACTAGGTAGAAGAAAAATAGGATAAAAAAAATAAATTTGAACAAGTGCTTAGAAAACACACAGGTGGAAATAACAAGACCATCCTTGAAATAAGAGTTAATGTTTCAGCTCTTCCATTTTAAATGCCTTAGAGGCGTTAACTCATCTATCCCTTCTAACAGTGCTATGAAGTAGGTATGACTATTTTCCCAGTTTCACAGATAAGTAAACTGAGGGACAGAGAAGTTAAGCATTTTGCTCAGGATCACCCAGCCTGTAAGTAGTGACATGCGGACTAGAGTCAGACACTAACTGTAGAGGTCCCCACAAGGACTCAATCAAAGCACTTTACTGCCATAGAATCGATTTTAAATGAATTCTACAAATATTTTATGTAATGACATTTATTGCCCATGTATCAGGCATTGTTTTTGGTACTGGGAATACTCCAGTGAGTAAAGCAAAGACCCTGCTTTCATGAAGCTTAAAGAGATTGTCCCTCTTGGACAATCAGGAAGACATATCAATCAGAGTGTGATGGGTTTGGTGGATAATGAACCTTTTTTACATTGAGGAGAGACTTGAAGGAAACAGGAAGCAAGCCATAAAGACAGCTGCAGGGAGAGGGAATAGCATGTGCAAGGGCCATGAGACATGAGTGGGGCTGGGGTGCTGGGAGAATAGCAGAGAAGCCACTGTGCAGGAAGGCTTGAGTAAGAAGTGAAGTGGGAGAAGATGTCAGGGAGGAAGCGAAAAGATCTGGGTCAGATCACAAATGGCCTTGAAGGCCAACATAAAGACTTTGACTTTTACTTGAAGATTTTATTTATTTGAGAGAGAGACAGGGAGAGAGAGACAGAGAAAGGGAACAAGTGGGGGTGGGGGGAGAGGCAGAGAGAAGCAAACTCCCTGCTGAGCAGGGAGGCTGATGCAGGATTTGCTCCCAGAATCCCGGGATCATGACCTGAGCTGGAGGCAGATGCTTAACCGACTGAGCCACCTAGGTGGCCCCCCAAAATTTTTTTTAGAAGATCTTGATTGAGGTGTAGGTGACATAAGAAAAATGCACAGTTAAAGTGTACAACTGGACAAGTTTTGACATAGGTATATACATGTGAAACCATCAGCACACTCAAGATAATGAAAATACCCTCATCCCAAGACCTTCTTTATGCCCCACTGGAACCCTTCCCTCTAGCTCCTCACTGGCCCTGTCCCATGCCCATGCTTCACGACTCATCTCTTCCTGCCAATTCTATTGCTGTCCACTATTTTAGATTGTCTTTTGAAAAGGCCTATGAATCACACATCATTATCACTTTATACAAACAATGGTTGTTTACATTTACCTACATCTTTTTCAGTTCATTGGCTCTGCATCATTCCTGAATCTCAGACTTTTTTTGGGAGACCACTGTTTGAAACACATCCTTTAAAAATTCTGGCCAAAGTCTTTTGATAGTAAATGTTCTTAGTTTGTGAAAATCTGAAAATGTGACTACTTCACTTTCATCCAGGAAAGATGTTTTTCTAGGTACACAGTTCTAGGTTGTGTGTCCACTTACAACTCTGAAGATGAGTCCACTGTGCTCTGGGTTCCTTGCTGCTACAGAGACATCTGATGTATAGCTACCATTCCTTTGTAGACAATTTGTCCTTTCTTTCTGGATTCTTTTAAGATTTTCTCTTGTTTTGGGTATACTACACTATACCACTAGGTGTGGATTTCTTTTCTCTTTTCTAAAGAGTTTATTTATTCATTAGAGAGAGAGAGAGCACAATGGTGGGGAGAGGCAGAGGAAGAGGGAGAAGCAGACTCTGCTGAGCAGGGAGCCCTATGTGGGGGGATGAGGACCTGAGCCAAAGGCAGACGCCCAACTGACTGAGCCACCCGGGTGCCCCTGGATTTTTTTTTTAAATTTATTGTACTTAGTATCCATTGTGCTTTCTGTATGTAAGTACAGATTTATAACTTTCACATTGGGGATTCTTAACCAATATCTCATTAAATATTGTGTGTGTGTGTGTCTGTGTGCATGTGTTTTAAGCCCTTCTTCATCAAAGACTCTGATTAAATATATCTTGGACTTTTTTCTGTGTCTTTTAAGGACTCTCTTACTCTCCAATCTCCTTGTTTTTCTAGGCTATATTCTGGTCTATTTCTTGGGCTGTATCTCCATTTCACTAATTATCTCTTTAATAATCATATTTCTCATTTCTAACAATTATATGTTTTTTTTTCCATTTTGCCTGATTAATTCCAATAGTGAGCTGCTGTCTGCTCATTTTATTTGTATGACTATTTCATTCACAGTTATTTATAAACTGTACACATTTTATACAGATATTGCTATAATCTTAGGAGCTGACATTCTTAGGGGTAAATATATTGGTTTTATGTTGACTATCACTGATGGTCAACTTATTATTTATTTGACAGTTTCTTTTTTTTTAAAGATTTTATTTATTTATTTGACAGACAGAGATCACAAGTAGGCAGAGAGACAGGCAGAGAGAGAGGGGGAAGCAGGCTCCCCGCTGAATAGAGAGCCCAATGCAGGGCTTGATCCCAGGACCCTGAGACCATGACCTGAGCTGAAGGCAGAGGCTTAACCCACTGAGCCACCCAGGTGCCCCTATTTGACAGTTTTTGATTGTCTAAATTAGGCAGCCATGCTTGGAGAGGATTTACATTTGCTTCTTCAGAGATCAAGTGGGTTCTCAGTTGAGGTTACTTTGTACAACATTATACTTTAAAGCTCTATTGTTTCTTTGGGAAAGTTAAACACAGCAGCTAGCGCCCTACCAACGGGAAACCATGGGATGCAATTTATCTGAAGTCAGTTATCTTATTAAAAATTGAGTAAGTGTAAATCCCAGGGTGGTAGTTCTGATCAATATTCTGAGGACCATTTTCATCTAAATAAAAATTAAGTTTTCAGAAACATCACATGCAAAATTTGAAAATATACATCTAAAACAACCGACTGAGACAAATTCTTTGTTAATGGAAAAAAATAACATCGACTCAGCAATATAAAATGTGTAAGAACCAGAAGCACTTCTTAAAATGAGTGTATTTTCTATAGACACATTTATATATTATTAGAATATACATGTTGCTCTCTCATAAGGTCTAAGTACCATATAAGTTAAGGGGAAAAAGATTTATTCTACTTTTTTAAATGGAAAACTAAAATGATTATTCTAAATCCCGATCTTGTATTGATTAGTTATGAGAAACGGAAATTTTCTTTTCTTTTAGAAATTCATTCTGAATGGTATCTCTCTATTCATTACTAATAATCCTGAAATAGACTCTAATAAACAATGGTTGAAATATTTCACACTGGCTCTTTAGACGGCAACTTCAAAGGCAACTCAGCTATCACTCATCCATTCATATTGGTATGCGGAGAAAAAGAGCACATGACTTAATGAGCAGAATTAAAAATGATCTGAATGGCTTACCTGCTGGCTGTTTTCACAGAACAGTTTTTCTTGTGTCCTCTTTCAGCTCGGTTATCTCTCAGAAGCTGATGCTATATAAAGTGTTAAGACAAAGTAGTAGAAACAAAAATATTTTCATTGTATTATTTTGGAAGTAGAAGAGTGATCCTCTCAGCAAAGGGACACCATTCCTGCATTTGAGGTAACTTTTTTTTTGCCTTCTACTGGTTTCTCTCACAAGGAAGATCACTGGGCTCACTGGAGATGCCATTGACACTCTTGTAACAAAACTGGGAGCAAGCGTTGGCAATCTGACGTTTCCCTGACAGCGAGACTGCTCCGAGCGGGAGGTTCTAGAACTCAGTCTTTATCCAAGTTCTCTGGAGTAGTCTTGGTTAAAGTCACATAACCTCTCTTGCCAAGGGCCTTTACCATTGCATTCAGCTGTGAATTTTTGAGACTTTGTCATTTATGCTGACATAAAAGATCTAATATTTTCTCTGTATCTCCTGGCCAAACATGGTTAAGAAACACACTTAAAACATTTGTTTTCAAAGAAATTATTGGCTTGGAAATACATAATTAGAAAGTATGTATATACATTTGATTGCCTCCTCAAAATGCCCCACCATCCACTTCCCTTCACACTTGGCTTTGCCGTAACTAATTGGAAAGAAAAAAAAAAAAACCCAGTAGTCAATACTCTGTACTATGTGTTTGCTCAAACTGTAGCTTATCTTATTTATGCAGAAATATAATTATACACAAGACTGGGCCAAAAGGAAGATGCACAGCATATTAGAAATTAACCCTAACAAAAGTAGAAATCTTAGAAGTACTAATGCAGATAGATCTAGGTTCTAATCCCAGCTGTGCCTGTAACTAACAAGTTACTAGGTTTTAATAACAGATTTGCCATTTACAAACTGGGCAGTCTTAGGCAAAGTACTTAACCCTCACGTCCATCTGTAAAAAGGAGATAATATTATCTACTGATAGGGTTGCCAGGAGGGTTAAACAAGATAAACCATGTAGAATGCTTAGCACTATGACCAAAACACAAGAAGTGCTGAGCAAAATGGTTCAAATGCTACCATTATGATTGTAATTAATGAGCCTGGTTGTCAGTGGGTATTGTCTACCAGTAGCAATACCTTTTGATAAAAAACTGCTTTAAACTATTTAATCACATTATTTGGAATTAATAATTAGCAACATTTGGCTACCTTTGAGAGGAAACAGAACTTAGATCATCAACAATGTAGTTAAATCATTTATTTATTCTTTCAGGACGGTCTTAATGATAAGTACATGTATCTTAAATTTCTCTTAAATTTCTACTTCTTTCCTTCCCCACTACTACCATCCTAGTACCATGATTTTCTCTTACTTGCAAAGGCCTCCCTGCCTCCAGACTCACTCCTATCCAATCTATTCTCCGCGCTGCAGCCAGTAATTCTAAAATTAGATCTAGTTTACTCTCTGCAGATAAAACCCTAAATCTTGTTCAAGCCTTTCATGGCCCTTCATACTTTGATTACATTTCTAAACTCCTAATTTCTTATGTTTCCTCCTACCCCAACCTAACCTTCCTACTTCTTCTTCTTCTTCTTCTTTTTTTTTTCTTTTTGATTTTAACTCCAGTATAGTAAACACACATTCTGTTAGTTTCAGGTGTACAATACAGTGATTCGACAATTCTGTCCATTACTCAGTGCTCACTGTGATAAGGCCACTCTCCTTCCTCTGAGCCTATTTCACCCATCTCTCTACCCACCTCCCCTCTGGTGATGGTCACTCACCTCCTCTTCTCTAAATTACATAGCCCCGCCATATTGAACTTTCTAGCTTGGCATGTGCACCACATTCTCGCTCACCTGTGGCCCTTTGCTTCCCCTATTCATTCTTGAATCTCCAAGGTCCAGCACGGTGTCTGGTACAGTTTTAGTGCTCAGTAACTATTTGTTGAATGAATGAATGATGGAATAAATGTGATAAAGAAGTAGGGAGTGAGATCTAGTATCTGATAGGCAGCTGAAGCTCGATCTCATTATTACTACGTATAGAAAATGGCAACCATTTATCTTAAGTCCATTAATCTGAAAGTGTTTCAATTTAGAAACACTTCGTACCATGAAAACAAAATTGTTTCTGAAAATAAAAATAATTAATTACTTTGGCATTTCTAAGTCTAGTGCCTTTTAAGAACATATGTACAAACCAACATTTGTGACACAGATAGCCAGAGGTGGGATGATAAAATCTCTACATCCACCTGAAATTAATAGTAGTGGCTAACTAACTTACCTAATTTTAAGATAAAAGATATGTGAATGCTGTTTCAGTGGTTTGTGTTAAAACAGTTACAGCAAAGAACTCAAAATCCTAAACACAACATTCTAAAATAAGAATTCTATTAGTTTAGTTTTGAAAATTCAACTATAAGGACCAAAATAAATATTAGGCCATACCTACTAGGTCTGGATAGTTCTTGGAGAGGCCACCACTTGGATCAACTTAAATGAGATAGCGCCTTCTCTAAATTCTAATGTTAGAGCTCCTTCTATGATATTCATGTGAGAATTTATTTTCTCCCTCAAATTTATAGTTTTGATGGGCTTTGTATACAAAAGGAGGTAAATACCGGAATTATCTAATACAGTGCTTCTATATTAAAAACCATCACAAATTTTCACACTTTATCAATAAAACTATAAATCTAGGTGCACCTTTGCAAATTTAAAATCAAACCAAGATTAAAAAAATACAAAGTCAGATCTATGGGTCATGAATCCAATTAATTAGTATGGGAAGCTAGATCTGTGAAGGGGCAAAGAAGAAAAAATTAATCCAGAATGTTATTAGAACAGAAAACATGTATTTGTATTTGAAAGATTCTCAACACGTTTCTGCTATGTCCCAAAGAACAAGAAAAAGGATGGCAGGGTGCAGTGGGGTAGAAGGCTAAGTCAGGTCCTGAGTTCATGGTCAAAGGCACAAGAATCCTTGAGCTCTGCTCTAATAAGCAAGAGAAGCTCATCAGGTTTTGAGAAATTCCTCGCTCTTCTTATTGATGATTTTTCTGTTTCCTTGGACGACTATCAGTGTCACAAGTGAGGTCAATTTTCAAGATTCTGACTCGACCACGCCAACTCTGATTAATAACAGAACTTCTGAATATGGTGCGAAGTGCTTCTTACCTTCCAACTTTCAGATTGCTGGACTTAGGCCAGATGGAGACACAACTCCCTGATTAGTGACCTGCAGATGTATATTAAAAAATGACCCATATAAGAATTACATGAAAATTCATAAGCACAAAACCTAGTACAATGTGAGGTTTACAAAAATTTCACAGTTTTGAAAACTACTGCATTAAACCAGGAAGAGAAGTGTTCCTTCCTGGAACCTGGATGGTTCTTACTGTCGGTAAGCAAGCAGGGGATTTCTGTTTTCACAACAGAAATGTTCTGTTTCATTTCTGTTTAATATTTTCACAAGATTACTAAAAGTTTCAAGTCCCTAATACAAGAGAAGAAGCCAAGAGAGGAATTCTTCCACAGAAATGCTCTCTTTACCACCTGATACTCAGAGCCATTCGCTTAGGAATATTTCTGTAACTTCTCAAGTGTCTACCAAAGAATTTCAAATCTCCTCACAGGTGGGCTCTCAGTGTCCTCACCCTAAAGGGAGAGCTAAGTAATATCTAAACTGTAGCCTATGACTCCTTAAGATACTTGTAAATATAGTCAAAATGTCAAATTATTAGATGTTCAAAGAGGAAAAATCAGAATAAAGTAGGACAAAAAAAAAAAAAAAGATGTTTCATATAACTGCTTCTTTCTCCTTCCTTCCATTTCTGAACCAACTTTATTTCTCTTCTGGGGCCTTTATAACTGCCCTCTCTGTGGTTTTCTCAAACATTTCATGACAGACTGTGTCATTATTGCTTTCCTGCCCCAGATTATAACCATCACAGGGGAAAGCTACATTGTTTTTCTAAATACTTTCCTTCATAAAGATAGAGAGTACCTGAAAGATAATGGCTGATGGATAATAGTTATTTACTGAATGTGTAATAAAAGAGTGAGAAGTACGAATGGTGTCAATGGGTATGGGATTTAGGACTAAAGAATGGAAAGAGGAATTATAAGACAGAGGAAGTAGAAAGGGGTGGGCTTTCCAAAAAGTGACGGTAATGTTATCCTTTCTTTATGTTGCTAAGTTGGTATGGGAAAAAAAAAAAGGTCCTCATGCATGCCAACAGTCATTCATTCAACAATCTGGTGAAGGATTTTACATTTCTTTATGTTTTTGCATTTCATCACTTGCACTGAGGTTTATTTAGCAAAGTTTACAGTGCTAGACTTAGATCTGAGTAGAATTAAGAAATGTTCACCCCTCGGAATATAAGTGGTCTCTGTGTGGTTTGTATATGTACACCTAGGTACAACGATTTCTCAGTATTCATGGATTCCATGTTTACAAATTTGCCTATTTGCAAAAATTTATTTGTAATGCCAAGATCATACTTCCGACATTTTTGTAGTCCTTCACAGACACGTGTGGAGTGGCAAAAATTTGGGTCCCCTGTCCTGCACGCTCTTAGCTGAGGCCTGATGAGTAGATCCTTCGCTCGGTGTTTCAGCTCTCAGTGTGAACAAGCAGTCTGTTTAGTACTATATTTTTTGCATTTTTGTGTTCTTCTTTTTTATTTAATCATTTAAAGTGGCCCCCAGGATAAAGCTGAGGTGCTGTCCAGTGTTCCTAAGTGCAAGGCTGTCAGAGACCTTACAGAGGAAACATGTGCATTGAACAAGCTTCCTTCAGATATTAAGAATCAATGATATCTATATTAAGTAAGGTATCATTAAACATAAACATACATCAAACAAGAATATGTATTGATCAGTAAATGAAATGTTGTGACCTCTCAGGAACCTAACCTTGTATTTCCCTAGGAGCAGTGTTTTGGTATTTGCTACTATAGGGTTCACATCAACTTTATAGCCCACAGCTACTGTAGATAATCAGAATCAACTGTACTCATTAATTAATAACCTACATTCAAGACAGAAATCTGAAATGATGTATCAAAGTTTAAACGAAAGGCAGATTTAAAAATTGGTCAAAAAGATTTTAAAAATTAAAAGCAAAAAAGAATTGCTCAACTTTTTTCTCTTTATGATATTAGCATTGTTGATTTTTAACTGTAGGGAGAAAATCTTGGCTAGAAGCAACCAGTTATACTGTGATATGAAAGACAACCTTATAACATTACTTTAGTATTTCTAAAAGGTAGAAAAGGAGCTTTAAAAAAATTGTATTTTGGGATAATCTATATTCTGATATGACATATTACCCAGAAGCAGCATCTTCTTGTAAGCACCGTACATAGGTACATAGAGAGACACGAACCATTTGGGAAAGCAAGAAGTCTAATTTTTACATTTTGAATAATAAGATAAACACATCACAGACATAACTTAGTCTGGTTAATTTCCAAATCTTTAGAAACAGCAGTCCATATTATACTATTATTATGGGAAGTATCTTTAAAGGGGACAATCACTCCTATGGAAAAGGGCAAGTTCACAAAATACTATTAAAGCTGAATTTACATGATATTTTTCTTTAGCTAGTCTCATGTGTGTTAAAAAGTTAGTATAGTTTATAATGAAGTATTTAACACCTTCTTATTATGAGTAAAAGGAACTATGGCATACACAACCAAGTGTGGCTCAGCTTAAGAAATTAAACATCATGAATATATTATCTACCTATCTACCTCTTTCCCTATCTACCTACCTACCCTTCACAGAAAATCATCCCTGTGGATGTGAGGTTTTTCATTCTCATGTATTTAAGGGTATTTCTTACATATTTTTGACCCACTTAGTAACTTTTATAATTCATAATGAAAAAAAAAATCAACAAGGATGCTAACTGTAAAATGCATATGCTTTAAAACTTATCAAAAACCTAAGCCCTAAATTACCACAGCATGCTGAGGAGAGAAAACGAATACATTCAAGGGAAAAAGAAAGAAAGTACTTATTTTGTATGTGAAGTTCATTGAAATGAATGTTAAGTTTTTGTTAAGGTAACTAATCACTGTGCTGCCATGTATACTAGTAAGCAATAAAAGAAAAAACCTCATGGAAAAATAAAACGTAAACTTGTAAGAAACTATTACCATCTTCTAAACTTCAAAAATAAAAATATTCTCTTGCTGGCTGACCTTACTTAATATTAAGCAATTTTTTGAGCATACGTACTATCTTGATATCGCAACTTTGTGAAAAACAAAGGTAAATGGTGAAGTCCTACAGACAAGTGACTCCCACAGCCTTCCCGTGGAGGTGACATTCATGACAGGGGAAGGTGGTGGTAAGGGAGCATTCTGATGCTTACTGAGGATGAGGCACTTGGTTAGTGTGTTAAGCACAGGCACAATCAACTCCTTTTTCAACGAGCTGGGATTTCTATCTTTTCTCACAGAGCTGATCTACTACCTTGAAGGGAGATAGTTGATACTTGAAAGACACTAAGAAACTTCCTTTTGGATAGAATGTTCCTTACCTGGCCATGCTCTGTCCTAGCACCAGGGCTAAACCAATGGCTGCAGAGGAAAGAGAAAAGGAGTTAGCATGAGCCTAACGAAAAGCACGTGCTCTCACATGACCCATCTGCATGTGCTTTAAGAAATGTATTCGCCACCAGCAATAGAGCCTTAAATATGCTTTATTTTAATGGATATTTCATGTAATTCTAGACTTACACCAATTTTGACAGAATTGTAAGAGTGCTCATAACCCAGTAATTTTCAATTTAATAAGCAAACTCAGAATTACATTTCCATTTAATTATGTTAACATAAACTGCTGGGACTGTATTCATTTTACGAATCAATTCTGGTTATAAAATCTTCAAATGCTATCATTTACCACAACTTAATTATAGCATCGTTACAACAAATTATGACCTTTGGATTGCCGGAGTTTTAAAAAAACATTAAAAATACCAGAATATTCTATCCTCTGGCTCTGCCCCCAGGAACAATCACACAAAGCCCTTGGTGTAAATTCTGGAGCGTCCAAGCTAGAGGTACCTTGAACCCGAACCTTCCACTGTGATAACAACTTGCGTTCTGGCTGAGAACAAGTTCAACAACAACGTTCAGAACATGGAAGTCGCTGCAGAGTTGATGCTTCCCTTCTCGAGTTGTCCTTGCCCTGCCTGACCCACCCACACTGCTTCCACCACTCCATGGATCCTCAGTAGGGACCCATCTGGGGAGGCCTCTTCAACCTCACAACCGGGGAGTTGTGATTAGTTGCCTGCCTAGGCCTTCGGCAGTATTCTACATCAAAACTACTTGTAAACATCAAGGAGTAGGAAATCAAGAGAAACACGGTGGCAAATAAACCACAAAAAGCCCACAGAGAATGATACCAATGTTATTATTTATGCTATTTGTTTTTTAGAGAACAATAATATTGAGGACTTGTGTTTCCCAAGCACTCTTTTGACACAGGACATGTATTATTTCCTCTCCTTGTAAAAACCTTACAAGGTTCTTCTCACTTTCCAGGTGCAAAAATGAGGCGCAGACACCAGGCTATTTGCCCACAGTGTGCACCCATCATACTATACTGCAGAAGGACAAGACACTTACATTAAAAGGGCAGATTTCCTAAGACTTTGATGTAATCTCCAGCCTCTGTGGTACTAACACCTGGGAGTAAACAGCCTCTACATTAATAGGATTTGTCTCTGCTCTTACTGGAACAACTTCTCAAGCTCATAGATGGTGATGCTCTTTGACAGGTCACATTCTACCTTGATGTGGAATGGACACTTCTGGTATCTGTAAATGACATCTGGATTAATAACCAACTAGAAGCAAGCTATTCACCCAGACAACCTGACTAATATATTTCCTCCCTGTTAGGGATGTGCCTTTGTACGACCAATGTATGGTTTACTAAATCATGGTGTGTAAGTGATCCTTTCAGAGTTCAAGACAGAACAGCAGATTTAATAGAAAAAAAATCGTTGATATGTTTTTGGATTAGACATTATAAAGAACGTTTGAGAAACAACCATTCTTTGTGTTTTAGTATCATATCAAAGAATAGCCACAATGATCTGGAATGAAAAGGCTATTAAAACACTCCTTCCTTGTCCAACTACTTTTCTTCATATGCTTCAACCAAAGCAACATCTCACCCCATGTTGAAAGGAATCTAAGCTGTCTTTTATTAAGCCAGACATTAAAGTAATTTGTGCAAACAATAGCATGTTCTCACTAATTTTTTTGGGCGAAAAAAATAGCATATTTTCCTAAAAATATGCTATTTATGTTAACATGTAATGGGCCTACTATATATTTATATATACATTTTTTTTAGAGAGAATATGCATGAGCACGCACACGTGCATATGTGCACGAGAATGGGGGTGGGGGTGGGGACAAAGGGAGAGGGAGGGAGAGAATCTCAACCAGCCCAACACAAGGCGCAATCTCAAATCCCAAAATCATGACCTGAGCTGAAATCAAGAGTTGGACGCTTAACCAACTGAGCCACCCAGGTGCCCCTGGGCTTATTATATTTTTTAATAAATACATAAATACTGCTAAGATTCTTTTTTTGTCACAAACCGAGTCTCCATCTAGCTAGTTCACTAGCCCAGTGAATGGCAGCACTGACCTTCCAATGGACAACTAAACTCAGCTTGGACCCCTTTCTCTTTCTTATCCAAACACCAGCAAGTTACTTTTCTTATACCTGCTAACTTGACTCCATTTCTCATACTGCAGAGCTACAGTGATGCTTCCAAGTTCCATTTTTTGAATATTTGGTTATTCACACCCTTACCTCAAGCAAACAAATAAATAAACAAACGCAAACCAAGGTCTGAAGGGTTGTCCACTGGTCTCAGGAGAAAGAATCCCTAAATGGCCCACTGGCCTCAGCATCATCAGTCCTTGCTTCCCTTCCTCCTGTCTCACCCAATACTCCCTCTTGCTCTCCCATTCTGTGCTTATTGCTAACATTCCTTTCACCATCTGAACACAGAGCTATTCTCTCCACTTGAAATGCTCCTCTTGTCATTATCCCCTTAATTCTTGGAGGTTTCATCTCAAGCTTGTGTTCCTTAAGGAAGCCTTTTATTTCCATCTTTAGTTCAAATTCTTCACCTGGGTGGTGCAGTCGCTTAAGCCTCTGACGCTTGGTTTTGGCTCAGGTCATGGTCTCATGGTTGTGAGATCGAGCCCCATGGTGGGCTCTGTGCTCAACGCGGAGTCTGCTTGAGATTCTCTCCCTTTTCCCCATGCCTCTCCTACTTGCACTCTCTCTCTCTACAATAAATAAATAAATCTTTATTTAAAAACGTTCTCTTTTAGAGTACTCAGCTCACTATATAATAATCATCTGTGTGTCAGTCTGTACATACACCTTTATGTGTGTGCTTACTGATCAATGTCTCTTCTCTACTAGGTTGTGCCATGTCTGTCTTGTTCATTACTACAGATCTAGCACATAGTAGGCCTCACAGATATTTTCTGAACAGATGGATAAATGAATGGCTTGAGATACAGAGCAGAGTTTTAACAACTAGAGGCACCATGTTATTCTATGAAATGAGAAGAATCACAGCAGTGGCTTAGGTGGTCTTCCAGATTCTTTCGGGGTCTCATGTTCTGGGGACCGAATGACCATGATGTAAAGATTATTCCTCATTATTTTTTTTCTATGAAACAAAAAGTCAATTCGAAAACTATGCTCTGACTATACTCAAGAGAACCTTCATTTTTTAAATTAAACTGCAAATGTAAACCCAGGAAGTTCAGAATGGTGTGCTTGCTAAATCATGCGTTTTAGAATCAGAAAGATCTAGGTTTGAATATAGGCTCTGGTCCTTACTACCAAGGTGAACTGTGACAAATTAATTTTCTGAGTGTGGGTGCAATGCTGGGATTTAGAGGAAAACTATATATTTGGTTATTCAGATGATTAAAATGTATTTCTCATATGTATTTGGTCTTACTCCATGGTTCCCTGCTCACAGCTCTGAAAACCCTTAGAATTCCTTAAATGCTGAGAGTGACATTGTTATGTTAATGAGGTGGCTTTTGGACATTCCCTAAGGCTGGGAGCTAGTGGCCAGGGGAGCCAACTATGAGGCTGGTGGTTCGATTTTTCAGTCTCAATCCCTGACCTCTGGGGAGGGGAGAGGACTGGAGGTTGAATCCATACCCAAAGCCAGTGATTTAATCAATTGTGCCTACGTAATGAAGCCTCCATAAAAACCCAAAAAGGCAAGGTTTGAAAAGTTTCCAGATAGGGGAAGAGAGAAGATGTAGGGACAGTGGTATATACCTGGATCTGACATGAAAGTTCCACACACCTTCACCCATACCTGGCCTTGGTATATCTCTTCCATCTGGCTGTTGCTGAGTTATATGCTTTTATAATAAACTAGTAATCTAGTAAATAAGACATTTCTCTGAATTTTGTGAGCAAATTAAATAAACCCAAGGAAGGTGATGCAGGGACCTCGGATTCATAGCCAGAATCCGACTGGTGTTCTGAGCTGGAGGCAGTCGTTGGAACCTCTGATTTGTATCTGGGGGGTCAGAAGCACAGGTAACAGCCCGGGCTTGCCAGGGGTTATCTGGAGATGTGGGGTGTTAGGGGGCAAGGTGGTCTCATAGGACTCAACCTGTAACTTATACCATCTGATGCCATCTCTGGGTACCTGGTGGCAAAACTACGTTGAAACAGGACAGTCAGTTGGTGTCCTGGACACTTGCTTGTTGTCATGAGGAAAAGCCAGTGTCAGAAATGACATGTTCTGTATAAGTGTTAAAGAAGACACACAGGAGGGGCGCCTGGGTGGCTCAGTTGGGTAAGCGTCTGCCCTCAGCTCAGGTCATGATCTTAGGGTCCTGCAACGGGAACTCATGTCTTGCTCCCTGCTCGGCGGGGAGTCTGCTTCTCCCTCTCCTTCTGGCTCCTGCTCTCTAGTGCTATCTCTGTCTTTCTCTTTCTAATAAATACAGAAAAATCTTTTAAAAAAACCACACACACACAGGAAAAAGTAGGAGGGAAAAATCTGAGTTTTTCCATTATATTTGGTCTCTTTCTCATCTGTACAATAAAATTAATCCTACTTCTCTTATAGGATTGGGAAGCTTAAATATGCTAAGAACCTGGCATAGAGTAGGTATTTAAAATAAATATTTATTTTCTTTTCCTATAGTACACAGTGGAATACAGTAATATGTGAACTTTTACTCTGTGAATTTTTGTAATAACTTCCTATTTATTCCTAAATGTCAGGAGATACACCAGTGTTCAAGTGTAATATTTACAGGATTCCCCCCCACTCCAGTTTTAGTGGGTTATCATACATAACAGATGCTGAATACAATTTTTTTAAATTGACTTTTGGTTGAATAGAATATACTGTGTGACTTTCCAAAAGTCCGATCACGTATAAAATGGGGCTGTTAGGACTGCTTCAGAGAGGCAGTAAAAAACTGTGCATATGAAAACATGCACAGAGAGAGTGGTGTATATGAAAATACTCTGGAAAATATAATATACTATC